CATATGTCTCTAGATCTTATTACAAGAGGAGAGAAAATCAATTGGTTAAATGTGTTCTGAACACCATGCTTGTCATATCACTCATTTGTTTGCAAAGATGGAAAGCTCAGTTCATCCAGAATGTCACCTAAAGAATTGCCATCAGTGCCGTTTGGTTACAGAAACTGATGGATTAACCTTTCCCCTCTGAAATTGGTGATCAATGAGTTTCAATGTAGAAATATTCCAATGGGAAAGCACCTCTCCTTCTTCCAGTTAAACAACATTAAATGTCTATTAAAGCCCATTATGCATGTTAATACCTGTCAACACTTCATTACTTCACCATATTTCCCAGACTACAGTGACTTTGGAGGAAATTACACTGCCTTCTAAGGACCTACTTTGTGGGTAGTGCCAAAGCATTCTTTGTGTCACACTCCAGAAATAAATGGTGTGGAACTAAATCTTCACACACAGGAATATGAGATTCTCCTGTAAACATCTGCCAATAACTTACAATCATAGTAAAAAAAAAAAGTGTATTCATTATTTTTTTTTCCTTAAAAAAACCCAAACCAACCATAGTTCAGAAGAGCCATACAAATTTAAAACATTAGGTCTTAAAAGAGAGGGGTGCAGGCATAATACCTTTTAAGAATCAAGGCTTCTTCTAATGTCAAAAGGGTGGATTTAATCCAAATTTATAGTCTGGAGTCTTAATTGCTGTCGCTGTTAAATGCATTAACTGAAAATACTGTGATACAAAAAGAGCTAAAATCATTTCAACCATTTTAAGTAATAATTCTACAGAAATTCTGTGTTCATTAATCTGACTATACATTTTGTCTCTTTGACTACAATCCATAAAGAGACAGTTTCAATGTGATTACATTACTATTATTCGTGGTGAGAACTCTGCATTACAATAGTTTGCCCATTTAGGACAGAATATCATTAAGAATACCCTGGGAGAATTTTACTGGTCTTTGAGGAACTCTCTTTTCATTTTGCATTGTATTCTTTTTAATAAAGGGAGGCAGAATCGGAGTGAAAACAGTAATTGTTCACAGCAAGAGTTAGGGAGAAATCAGTAATAATATTCAGTTGTTGCAGCTCTATAGTCCCTGCTAGTATTCCTGTAAGCAACCATGAATGATTACAGCACGACTTAGCTAAGGTAGCCACTATGGATGATTGATAGGACATTAATCAAAAGATGCATATCAGGCTCAGAATTTGTTCACAAGCTTTCTTCTAATAGCTGATTTCATGTTCACTGAGCTCTATGCCAGTTTGTTCAATTTATTCTTCAGTGTACAAGCCATTCATCAAAGAACACAATGATTTAACACCCCTTTTCCTTTTTAGTGAACAAACATTACTAAGTGTAACTACTCTGGTCTGTTCATTAAAAAACATACAATTACAATGTCATACATGAGGCTAAAACAATGCCTCCTTACTATACCCCAGCATTTTTTGCCTCTATATATACACTGTGAGTTCATCTCATGTACTTCAAACACTAGACGGCACCATCCTGAAGATGCTATCAAATTCACCAAGATCAACAAATGCAATATAGAAACCATTTGGATGAAGTATTTTATTTCTCTGTGAGTGGTTAATGGCTAGGACACTTTTACCCATCAGCTGAATCAGTTTAGAAGAAAAAAGTAAGTGGACTGATTTCATTGGGAGCTCCAAGTACCTAGCACCCTTGGAAATACAGGGTGGTGTTTTGGTGGGTTTTTTTTTTCCTTTCTAGGTGTTTATGCATGCACAACAATACCTAGCTTTGCAAGTCCAGATTCAAAACTTTGGCAACATTCTTCAGATCCTACATGGTAAAAAGACAAACTTACGATTCAGCCACAAGACGTGACTGACTTAAGAGATGTAGATCCTGCCCATAACTGCTCTGTGACTGCAGTTACATGAGCACCTGCATCTAACGTTAATTTCTTAACATATCCAAAGCAAGAGCACAGGAGATCCCTCCTGAACAGTGCAGGAGGGGCAGGAGGGAACTGCTGTGATCTGAACTTTTTTTTAAAATATATCTATGTTTTTATATATATAAAATA